GGGGGAATTGTCCTGGGGGGAAATGTCCTAGAATCATCATAGATATACGATTGAAAAATTTTAATATTTAAAAATATGGTCAAGATAGTTAAATGACTGGCTCCCAAAATAATTTCCACTTGAAATTTATAGATGACCTTTTCAAAAGCAGAAACAATACAACATCGTTTGATCTAATATATATTTTATTTTCATTTTACTACTTCTAACATGATATCTTGAAACTTGAAAATAAAGATGAAATGTCAGATATGATATGCAAAGCGTATTACTGATAAGAAAAATCTACTCATTAACATCCTGTATGTTTGCAACTGAACTTGTAACAGACAAAATAATCTGTGCTAGTACACTACTGTTTTGAAATGATGTGATATTTTCTTACAATACCCAAATAAATTTTAATTTCTTTTGAAGTCAGTAAATTTTACTTCCGTTTATAACTTCCTCAATTTTAACTTCTGTGTTTATTTCAAAGAAAATGTTGCCACAAAGCAAACTTGACATTTTTAAACCTCGCATGACAAGCCTCAAAAGGCAATCATCTTCCTTTACAAAACTTCCCAAATTGCCTTTATGTAACAGACAATATACTCACATTCCATCACCTTAAAAAAGACTGTCCAATCATAAAGTTCGGAGGGAATTCCCCACGACTGCTGGCAAACAAAATAATTATACACGCACAGGTTCTTCAAGTTGACGGAGAGGATTTGTTACAGTTGTGTGAGAGCATAAGTTATTTGAATTACATAAATTTTAATATATAGAAGCATATAGAAAAAAAGCTTTCTGATAAACTTGGGGGGTAAGGTTGGAGAGCACGTCAAAAATCTCTTGCGGTGGGTGCAATCGCACTCCCCCTCCTCCCTTCAACATTCACCATTGATTTTGTTTGTTCTAAGGTTTCCTTATCTTTGTTCTCACATTCTTCATTTTGAACAATGCGTGCTGGTTTCAGCAAATGTTAAAATACGTCATTTTGCAAGATGTTAAAGAGGCGCGGTATTCCAAACACGTGGGATCGTGACTTCTGTTTGTGAACATAAAGGAGCGCAATTGATTCCTCACAGTAAACGCTTTTTATAAGTCTGTATAAACCTATTGAATTTTCCTTTAATAATGTCAACAGATCTCTACAGAACCGGGAAGGAAATCATATTGGATAAAAGACCCAGAAAGGGTACTATATTTAGTGAACTGTTCGTGTTTAAAACCAATCCTAGTCAAATTCACAACGAAAGCAGAAGAGCAATGACGTATGTAAGCTAAGATAAATGTTTATGTAGCCCATTAATATATATAAATGACTATAAAACGCCCGTCGCCATGATTTGGCCCTATTTTAAGAGGAGAGTTTCATTGGGAATTGTAGAATGTGACTGCATGAGTGGCAGTTCAGGAATATACCTGTGTCTCATTCCTTACTTGCAAAAAGGGAGCCCATAACGCCGAGAATGCCGTTAATTGAAATTTCCACGATGCCGGGAAAAGGTTACTTTCTACTGTATTTGTGGTGCTTGATGAATGTCATTGTTAGTTGTGGAGGCTTCAAGGCTCAGAGGTGCCCGGTGCCATGTCACTGTGACTTTAAGTCCTTGTCACAGGGAATTGTCAACTGCTCTTACAGCCCAATCCGTGCCCTGCCCCTGGATATACCTATACCACTTAATACAACTGTATTGGATCTACGCTACACCAGTCTGTCTGAGATCCCACCGAACGCATTTAGCCAACTGGAGGGTCTGAAAGCACTGTATGTCGGAGGGAACAGCATAAAACACTTCCACAAGGATAGTTTTGCGGGTTTATGGAATTTGGAACTCTTAGATTTGTCTCCACTGCACTGGGACATGAACTTCGATTATGAAGCATTCCCCACGAACTTGTTTCGTGATTTAATCTCGTTAGAAGTTCTGATGTTCGGAAGAATGAGCAGCAGTGCACATATTCAACAAGGCTATTTAGACCAAACCTTAGCTCCCTTACACCAATTGCAACAAGTGACCTTTCCAAGTCTACCAGATGGAGATACACCATTTGGTCGCGGATACAACAATCTTACTTCACTGAAAACAGTGGTGTTTCATGGAGTTGGATCAGTAACGAACATAAGAAAGCACACTTTTGCCATTTTGAAAAACTGTCCTATCGAACGATTAGCATTTTTAGTTGTGGACTGGACACCGTAGAACATGGCACATTGTCTTCATTTCCACATCTGAAAGTATTGGACATAGAATATGCCAACTTTATGTCAGTCACAGAGGCCGAGAAGATTATATGTGACCTGAACAATACCTCAATTGAAGTTCTTCACATGTATGACATATTCGGATGGCGAAATTGGGAACCAAATGTTCCACAGTGGATTGTGTTTGCTAATACTTTTCAGTGTTTGAAACAAACATCACTTAAGACATTGGAATTAATGCGCAATAGAATAGAAGCGATTGACCTTCAAAATTTCAAGTTTCTGCCTCATTTAGAATATGTAGATTTGTCTGGCAACAACCTTTTATTTGGTTTGGAAAATGGAAAACAGGAATTAGGTTTCGATAAAATATTTCGTGATCTAATGTTAAATACAAACCTAACACTTTTTAGAGTGGACAACAATATTTATCGCACGAGTTTGGTGACACCTCAAGATATTCCATCAAACTCTTTTTGGTATGGCCATCCAAAGGTTCCTTAACAACCAGCTAAATACTCGTATGTAAGTTCAATGCACAAAACACTTCAAAGCATCCCACAAAATTTTCGGTTAGAGCTTCCAATTCTGAAAATGAATTTGCCTGAAAATTTAGAATACGTGTCTATAAGCTGGTGGGCCACAGATGTTAATAATGCTTTACCATGTGACAATATAAAGGGGTCCGTTTATTTCTTTCCAAACAAGCTCAGATATCTCAGAATACAGGACGTGCATTTAAATACTTTTTGTGCCTTACTTTATGGCTTAGATCGGCTAGAGTTTCTGGATTTTTCTTATAATGGTGTTAACTTCCTTCCAAAAACAATTTTTGATAATTTAACCTCACTGATATACTTGTATATGAAAGAAAACAATTTAGGACCTTTGATAGCTAAAGGTGGTCTTAATCCATTACAACTCCCTCATTTAGAAATCCTCGATTTATCAGTGAACAAAATCAGCACAATACCAAAAGACTTTTTTGGCTATCTTGTATCCTTAAAACGGCTGGATCTCAGCGACAATCGAATATCAACATTATCTTTTACCATGACAAACTTACTTTCCATAGAATACATAGATATAAGCACTAATCAACTAACTGCCTTGGCAATATCGCAGTTAGACTACATTATGAAGTTGAATGCCAGTAGTTTGGATGTAACTTTGAACATGAGCAACAATCCCATGGACTGCAAAGTTTGTGATGGATTAGGATTCCTCCATTTGATTATCCATTCTAACATGACGACAATATTCTCCAACGACTCCTCTTGCTACGTGAATGGATCTAAAACAAGCTTAGAGAGCAGCCTGAGTAGACTTGAGAGGGAATGCGACAGTTCTACACATACGATCATTTCATCAAACCTGTGGCTTTCCTTGGGAGCATCTCTCGGTGTCATATTTGCTGTTGCCTGTGGTCTTATAGTAGCTTACATTTACCGTTGGAATATCAAGTGAGTTAACCTGTGAGTGTATGTAGAAAAGTTTATTTTTTATATTGATTAAATATGTATCAAAAATGCGCACAAAAATAATTTAACACAGGAAAACTATAATTAGATATATATAGTACTAAGGGTTCATTGTGCTCTCTTTGCAACATATACCAAATATAGTGATAGAATCTAGAAAATGTAGTATTAAAATGAATATTAATACTAATAGTTAAAATCAAATACAGTGTAGCTTATCCTTTGAAATCTAATTATCAATTGCTAAAGGAGGTCTACATCCAATACAACTCCCATACTTAGAAACACTTGATTTGCAAAATCACCATAACACCAAAAGACTTTCTTGGCTATCTTGTATCCTTGAAACGACTGCACCTCAGCGACAATCAAATATCAACATTATCCTTTACCATGCCAAACTTTCTTTCCATAGAATACATAGATATAAGCAATAACCAACTGCCTTGTCGCTATTGGAGTTGGACTATATTAGAAATGTGAATCCCAATAGTTTGAATGGGTATAAAAGTGTTTCTATGTCATTTAGTGCGACATTTCAGTAAAATATTTGCAATGATTACCGATCATGTTTTTGTTTTTCTCCCAATTTTATAGATACCACTTCTTCCTTCTTCGCCGCCATTTTCGAAAGAGAGGTGTCATTGCTGCACCACCTGGTCACGTGTACGCCTCCTATGACGACAACGATTATTACTGGGTAACGCATGTGCTGTTGCGTCATCTAGAAGACGAGGATCAACTTGATGTCATCATAGATCAAAGAGATTTCATTGGTGGCGCTTCCCTTTCCGAGGCCATCGTAGAGGCCGTGGAAAACAGCAGGAAAACAGTGCTTGTTCTGTCTGAGAGCTATGTGCTCAATCCTTGGTGTGAATTTGAGTTTCAGATGTCTCTTGCTTGTGGTTACCAATCAGTAATCCCGGTTATGTTTCAACCTGTGCCATTTGATGCTATGACGAAATCACTGCGAAAGTACATTTGAGCTAGAGGGTATATAAAGTGGACTGAGGACCCCGATGGACAACGTTTGTTCTGGAAACGCCTCTCCAACGCCATCTTTGATGAGAATAATATACTCGTGCAACCCGAGAAAGATGACATGACTGAACTCATTTAGATGATTGGATTTGGTTTTATAGTGTTGAGTATTGCATATATTCCATTCCTGAATATTAAGGGTTGTTTTTTTCCCGATCCTGTTCTTAAATATGTGAATTTCTGTTCGCATAATTCAAATATTACTGAGGTACGTAAAGTCTTAAAAGGGTGCAGAAGTGTATATGTAATATATTTGTAAAAAATCTCTATAAAACACCACATGGTGAACAAAAAAAGGGGACCAACTAAAATGTGTGTTAGAATTTTAAGGCAACAAACTTACTTGTTAATGTTAAGGCAATATATAGAAATTTTGGTTAAAGAGCTTACTTTTTGAATTTAAAATAATTGATAATCAATACTGTTGCTCTTATAAGACAGATTTTAAAACTAATAACTGCATATTTATTAGCTGTGAAATAGTTATGCAATTTTGGATAGAAGTGAAACAATGGATACATCAATCGACCCCAGTTTAACATAATCCTATTTCGAGATTATTGTGAAAAGTTGTTAACTGTGTGAAATTTTTTTTGAATTATACTTTATATTTGTAACAATTGTGTGACAATATAATTTATTTTAAGGGAACAAATAATGATATGTAGATGCCATAAATAAATGCATATTTTGTGATGCCACTTTCTTTTTGCTTCTGAAGACTCTTGTATCCAGTCTTCTTTATTAATACAATATTCTTTATAAAGAGAATATGTACGCCGATAAACTTCAAGCGGCTCAGCAATGCTCTTAAAGTATAAATAAAGCCTAAAAGAGAGATTTGATATAAACATTTCTCGCTTTAATATTTTTAATCTTTTACGAAACAAATTATTATGTTTAAGACACTTCTTCAACAAAGATTTTTTTTAAATAAATATACTCGTATACATGTTCATTC